AGCGACGCCCGCCCCTGCCGGCGGCCAGGCCCACGGAGCTGCGGGTGGGGGCTGCACAGCACCAGGGAGGGGCGCTGAGAACTTGCTCAGCCTTGTCGAAGGGGATGGATTTCGAGGTAGGACACGAGACAGGACAAGAGAGGGTAGGGATTCATATTGGAGTGCGAACTCAGCCAGGGAAGACCTGTGGGTTGGCACATCAAGGCTGCGAGATCAGAGTTTTACCAAAATAGGGGCATGATTAAAGGGTTGTTCTAGAGGGGCAGCTGGTTGGGCAGGACCCTTAAAAGGCAGGAGTGTGGGAGGAGGAGAGCTGAAGGTGGCTGGGCTTCTAGGGTAGCAGGAGGTCGTGCGGGAGAAAATTAGAAAATGGGCCAGCAGTGGGAGGAGCTAGATAAGGCCCTAAGAACGTGAGGTTGCTTGGACCTGATGGACATTGGAAGAGGGTTATCACCGCTGAGGCACATGAATGCGCTCCGCGGCTCACAGGCCCTGGTAGGTAGATGCAGTTCAATTTGGGCCTAGAGGATCCAGCCTTGAGGATATAGGGCTAGTAGGACCCCAGACACAAACACACCAAGACACCCATCTGAAAAGGCCGTCATTCTAGCCAACAAAGATGTCTAGGGACTAGTCTTCAGACCAGAACCCCTGTCTCTCCACCCAGCTCTGTTCAGTGCAAAGCAGATGTTCACACAAAGCTGGCAAGACGTTTTCTCTTTGCTCTGTGAAAGGAGATGGTGAAGGAGGCAACAGAAGCTGCATTGATCTGGACAAACATCATATTTATTTCACAAACACTGGGTAAATGGGTGGGGGGCCCAGGTGCACAACGGCACACATAGTGGTCAGTGGCCCACTTCCCACACTGAGGATCCAGCCAAGCGGTGCCTCCAAGTCGACAGGAAGCGGGAGGTGAGTGCAGAGAGAGCCCTGAACACCAAGCTCCCCGAAAGGCTAAGGGGCACAGCTCCAGCTGTCCCAGGAAAAAAAAACCACAAATAAATTAAGAGTGGGGCACGGCCCCACCCACACATAGCATCTAGTCACCCATCTTCACTCTGGAAGTCTGCAAAAGAAAGAACAGGAGAAATAAGGCAGGGACAGTGACACATGACAGATCAGACCTAGCAAATCTATCAGTGGATGGAGAGACCACAAAAGATGAGTAATTTGACTAGAATGGACATACCATGACAGACAGACAAACACAGATAAACAGAAGGGTCAGGCAGACTATGAGACAAACCAAGTACACTGGCCATAAATGCAGTTATTATTAGGCAAGACACACAAGATTCAGATACCTTGTCCTAATGACCGAGACATATACAAAGGTTCATTGATGCACAGTAGGAAACCTTAGACCATTTTAAATACAGACAAGATCCCAACCCAGTTTAGTCTACAAGTCAGCTCCAAGAGCAAACAGAAGAGACTAACAGATAAAGAAATGACAGACATAACAGAGCAGATGAAAAAAGATCATGTAGACACAAAACAGAGGTTAAAAAATAAAACAAGACAGTAGTCAGAGACACTAGATCAGACACAAAAATAAATTGAAAGTGTCAAAGTAAAAAAGAAAAAAGATAAAATGAGGACAAGACAGGAGGAATTGTCTGGAAGGTGTATGGTTGTAGACAGAGAAGCACCCAGCTCGTCCAGGAGGAGCGTGGGACTGACTGAGGACAAGAGGACAGAGGCTCTTTGGGGAGACTAAGCACCTGGAGGATTGCAACGATGACTCCAAAGAGGCCAATGGCGCTACCAAAGATCTCCACGATGAGAATCTTGACAAAGAGGCTGGGGTTCTGGGCATCAGCCAGGGCAGCCCCACTACCCACGATGCCCACGCAGACTCCACAGAAGAGGTTACACAAGCCCACCGTGAGGCCAGCCCCAAACATGGAGTAGCCTGTGGGAATGGGGGACAGTGGGGAGTAAGGATCAGTCAGGTAGGTACAGCCAGTCAAGGGAGATGGAAACAAGGGCCCAACACACTAACAGGGCCAACCACTGCCCCACCTCTGCAAGGCCAAAGTAGGCAGGAGAATATAAAATGAACAGGCCAAGCTGGGGTTGGGGCAGGAAGCAGGTGTGAAGCCTCAGCTTTGCACCTTCACACAACCACCTACCTGCATGATAGTTTCGATGACCAATTGCCTTAGGGTCAGTGGCAGTGATCGGCTAAGAAAGACAGAAAAGTAATCAGCAACCACCCCTCTCCTACCTCTTAGCATGGGTAGGGCAACTAGAATGGATGCCCACCCCCACCCCGGTCCTCCATACCTCAGCCATGTTGCTAATGACAATTGCCATGATGATGCCGTAAATGGCTACAGCCTCACAGAAGATGATGCTGGTGGTAGCAGAAGTTGGGGAGGGAGGATTAGTGACGTTAAAGAGTTGAAAAAGAAACAAACCTTCCTCCCCAAAGATCCGCCAGCAAACTTTGCCCAGCCAACATCCCACCCCACCAAGAGGCTGCTTAGGTCAAATAAACAGCTCCCGATGCACCAGAGTCCAACAGTTTTCTAAGAGCTCTCACACTTACCTAACCAGGTTCTTGGTCTTAATCCTGGGGGCCTTTACTCCTCCCCCAATAATGGAGGAGCCTGTAATATAGATGCCCCTGGTGGAAGGGAAAGAAGAAGGAGAGTCCCAGCTGTCACTACTGTCAAGATGACTAAGGATGGAATGACACCACCCACCCATGACTAGTCCCTCAACTCCAACCCCACAATCCTGATACTCACCAGGCTGCCCCAACCACAGACAGGGAGATAGCAAGACCAATGCCCAAGTTTGACCACATGAAAGGGGACGTCTCAGTAAGGAACCTGGTGTAGGGGGAGGGAGGAAATAAATCAAGCCCTGGGGAAGGGAGCACAAAATTCACAGTCCTCAGCCCCTACCAAGTCCCAAATGCTGAGAAAATAAGACATGGAAGCTCTGAGAGACCCATGACCTAGAAGCTAGAGGTGGGAACAATGGGAAGGAAGGAAACTCAGGTAACAGAAAAGGTTGGGGGCGGGGAGGTTGCAGAGAACAAACTCCTAAGCAAATCTTCTCCCTTACCATGCCACATCAAAGCGGAAGCCCAAGTCAAAGATGGTGTAGCAGATTCCTGCAGCAGTAAGGGGGGGGGGGGACAGATTTAAGGACTGTTCTTAGGAAGCTGCTCAACCTAGAGCTGAACTGATGAAAAGCCTCCTCGCTCAACAACTATCTACAGTCATGTCAAGTGAAAATCCTTAGGCTAACTCCCTGGCGACAGTGTGGCTGTCCACACTGACTCCTCTGCTTAGGCCTCCTCCTCCCAGGACGCGCCCCTCCGCAGGTACACCACCCGGCACACCACCCTGAACAATCTAGTGGAAGAGCTTTAGCCAACTCCACCAGATCCTGCTGGCCCAGTCCAAACCGCTGTTTACCCAACAAGCTGAGGGCGGTGGAGCAAACGACCAGGAAAAGGGGAACTGGAGCAGCTGGCTCGTGACCCAAGAAGGCCAGTCAGAGGCAAGGGAGACAATGGCAGTGCGATGGGGAACAAGGGCGGTAATGACAGAAAAGGACTAGCGCTCTTCTCGCGCTTTCCCACCCCGCCACACTACCAGCAGTTGCAGATAAGTGTCTCTGCACGATTAGACGTCCGTGCAGATGAGAAGAAATTTGCAAAGCCCGCACTGGGGTCCCGTATCCCGGAACCTCCTTTGCCAGCTTGGCTCCAGCGGGCCCTCATCCATCCCGACCTCCATCAGAGCCTAACCTCACCTACGATAAGCATGGTGCCCCAGAAGGCCACAGAGACCCCGGTATAGAGCAGCGCGAGCCCCGTCATGGCGGCAACGGCGGTGGGGGTCGTGTCAGAGGGGCCAGAGCTAAGACTGCGTCCCTACGTCTGCCCCGCAGTCTGTCGGCCCGCCCCACAGCATCACCTGACTCACACACGTGAGGGGCCCGTGCCACGTGACCCTACGCCGGGGGCTGTGGAGCGACGCTGCCCGTTTCGAATATGGCGACAGTGGGCGTGTCTGGCGCTAAGGATTATGGTTATTGTAGGCGCCGCTCTGTGGCCGGTCCCCAGTCCCCTTCATTCTAGCTATGGTGCCCTTCTTAGCAAGTACCTCGATCTTGTGGCTGACCTTCCCCCAAGCGTGTGCCTTCTTATCCCGCACCCTGCCCCCTAGTCCTGCTAAGAGGGCTTCCTAGCTTCACCTAAGCCACTACCGAACCTTCTGGCTGCCTTTGATTCCAGTCTTACAGCGATCACCGCTCAACTCAGTTCGGCCACAATGCTATGTGCATTGTCAGTCGGCTAGTGATGTTTCCTCACCTGGAAACATTATCTTTTCGTTGTACTTCGTTTTAGCCTGCTAAAATCTACTGTCCTTCACAAAGAATTCTTCCCTTAGGAAGCTTTCTCTAGCCTAGAGACAAGGTAGTGTGATGGCTTAGTGTTTCCATGATCCAAGCGATCCTCAGAAGAGCTCATTTATAAAATGTCACTCTTCTGTCTAAAATGGCAGTGGCTCCTTTTTGGATAAAGGTAAAAACCTTTACAATGGTCATCTCAGCCTCTTACCTTGAACTTCCTCCCCAACTCACCATAGCTGTAGTTGCACTAGTCTCCCTGTGATTTCTTGACCATGAGCCCCACATCAAGGCCTATGCATATGTTTTTCAAACTTACAAGTCTCACTCTTTTAAGTCTTTGCTCAACTGTTGTTGTCAGGTGCCATCCAGTCAACCACAACTCGTCCTCTGTAGACCAGAACTTTGCCCTAACCTGCACCATCCTCAAGACCCCTCATGCTCAAACTCATTGTGGTTGTCACTGTCAGTCCACCTCCTTGAGGTTCTTCCTTTTTCACTGACCCTATACCCCATTGAACAAGCCTTCCCTGACCATCCTATTTAATACTGCGAACTTTGCTCCCTCACACCTATCCTTCCCAGCTATTTTTCCACAGTATCATGTATAATGTTTATCTGTCTCCTCTCATGAGGAGGTAAGCTCTATGAAAGAATTTCCATTTAGCTCACTGCTTATTCCAGTTCCTAGCACATAAAAGAGAGTCAATATATATTTGTAGAATAATTGTTCGGTGTCAAGTTAACCATGGTCAGTTTATATGTCTAACATTAGGTATTAAGAAAACAGACCACATTTTCCTTATCTTTGTTTTTTTCTTCTGGCTTCATGTTTATTCAACACAATTCCCTCCAACTTTACTAAGGTAGCTGACCATGTCACAACCAAATCCGCCTCTAACCTGGAATTTAGTTGCTGATCCAGCTTCAGCCTTGTTCTTGAGATCTTTTCATTTCACCTCAGACTTTACAGTCTAAGCATCCAGACTTTGTATGAAGCTCCCACTATAGTTTCATGCCTACGTGCCTAAGTAGTGTACTCTTTGCCCAAATGTCCTTTTTGTGCTCTATTTCTGCTCATAATTCTTTTTTTGTTCAAGGGATGCAGCCAAGGTGTCACCCTCTTTAGGAAGCTTCCTCAGGGCTCCAACAGCTTCCCAGGCTTACCTGCTCAAAGACTGTATAGTTTTACTGTGTGGTAATGACCTCTTAAAAAAAAATAAATCAATAATTCAGAAAACTGGAATTAAACTGTCAGGAAGAGAATAAAAAACCTGAATTACATATAAACAACAAAAGTTGAAAAAATGTGGCTAGTCATGAACTAGGGAGCCCTAGTGGTACAGTCCTATGGAGTTTCACTGCTAAACCAGAGCAGTTTGAATCTGTCCGCTGCTCCAGGGGAGAAAGATGGGCAGCCTCCTCCACTGCAATTTACAGCCTCAGAAACCTGCTTGGGGGGGGGGGGTAAGCGATGAGTTGTTTCAACTCAATGACAATTTTAGTTGGACTAGAGAAATGGGATTAGTAAAAGTAACACAAAGTATTATAAAACAAACAAAAAAACCTGTTTCATTGGGAGCTCTGGTGTCCTAGCTGGAAGGAGCTGCACTGCCAACCCAAAGGTGAACAGTTCAAATCCACAAGCTGTTCCATGGGAGAAAAATGGCCAATCTCCTGTGCAATTTATTGCTTCTGAAAACCCACTGGAGGGTCACCTACGGGTCAGTTCTGACTCAATGGTACACAACAAGAAGTTTCAAAGGCTGGAGAAAGGCAGTCCTCTGATGCAATTCAGAACATCTGAAAACTCACTAGAGGGTCAGTTAAAAGTTGGTTCTGACTCAACAGTCCAGAACGATGTTTCAAAAACATCCCTCTGATGTTAACTTCAAACAGTGGGTAACTGCCTATTTGTTTCTCTCCCCAGCCACACTGTCAGATTTACTTCAATTCTCTCCCCAGAGGACCTGTGCAGGACCTGTTCTGTTTATCATGGATTACACTATGTTCCCCCAAATAGATGTAAATAATGACAGAATGTGAAACTGACAAGAGAGAGGTCTTCCCCAAAAACTGGAACCCTGAATTTGGACTTCTGGCCTCCTAAACTGCTAAGAATATAAATTTGTTAGCATCATCCACTTGTGGTCTATTGTAACAGTCCACAGGGAGGTGAACTGCTAACTCAAAGGCCACATCTCTCTGGTGATTCCAATCCCCCAGTTGCTCCAGAGAAGGATGGGAAATCTCCTTGTGATTTACAGGTTCAGAAAACCTGCTGGAGGGTCAGTTCTGACTCAATGGCAATGAGTTTGAGGGGGCTCTTTTTTAATAAATTAACTACAGTTTCTGATGAATAAATAAAGTAGTGAAAAAATATCTGGTTTATTCATTTTCCTGTGAACTCTCTGGAAAATAAATCAAGACTCAGTGTAGACCAGTACTGTCCTACAGATATTCCATACTATGCTAATCGCTCACATAGCTAGTTAAGAATTAGGAATATGACTAATGTAATTAAGAAACTGAATTACCAATTTTACTTAAGTGAAGGCAAAATAACCACATTGTCTAGTGGTTATGGTACAAGATATGCAGGTCTGCATCAGCAGTTCTCCAGGGCAATTCTCCCCTAAAAGGAGATGCCTGGAGGTATTTCTGGTTGTCACAATTAGAGAAGTTCCTGGCACCTACTTGGTAGAGGCCAGAAATGGTGTCAACATCTTACAATGATAGGACATTCAACAAAGAATGAACTGACCCAAAATGCCGAGTGCCAAGATTGAAAAGAGCCTGGTCTAGACGATGTAGCATCTATCCTTTCATAAGGACACATCCTCAGTACAGTCCAGGAATTGTAATTGGCCTGAGATCCTGGTATAGATGGGCTTACAAAGTCTCAGGGTCACACTTAAGCCTATTTCCCCCAGTAGTCTTTCCACAGGCCTTTACTGAGCTAGTATGTGCCCAGTCTCCTGTCAGTGCCAGGACAAGACAGAGTTAGGTCCAACCCTAAGGGAAGGGTTTATCTACCCTCCTTGTAGCCAAGCTCCTTCAGGGATCCTGGTAGGCAAATAAAGGGACTGGTGCAGGGAACACCACACGAGGCAGCAGTTATTCATAAGTCCATCTGTGTTTCTGGCCCCACATGGTATCAGCTGCTTCCCTCATCTTCATAGGCGATGGCAATTCCTCGTCTTCCACTTACAGCTCCAATCACTGGCGTCTGACCCAGGTGGGGCTCCAGCCCCTGCCAGCTCCGCGAACTAAGGAACAAAGCTGCAGGGGAAAGGGAGATCAGGCTGAGTGTGCTAAACCCAGAGGCAGAGTTCAGCTGGGGTACAGACTTCATACACTCACCTGCAGGGCTACTCTCAGCCAGTTCCAGCTGGGGCCGAGGGGCCAGGGCTGAGCACTCAGAAGCATTTGGTGGCTTCCAGGCAGGTGTAGGTCGGAGTGCCCCAGTAATGAGTGACACATCTGGAGTGTCCCACAGCTCAGAGTCAGGTGGTGGCAGAGGCACATGGAAGGGAGAGCCTGGAAGAGAGGGCTAATGAGGATCCATACTGGCTCCTCCACCCTATCAAGTGTTTTCAGTTCAGGTAGTGACCCCCTCCCTACTCACCAGGCAGCAAGTCCGCATAATGTGTGAGGTGAGGGGCCAGCCCTGGAGGTGGCCAGGCAGGATTGCAGGCAGCCTCTAGTTCACAGGGTGCCAACACAGGTCGGTAGAAGCCACCAGAAGGCTGGGGAGCCAAGGCACCCAGAGGACAGGCCAAAAGCACAAAAACATCCACCTCAGGAAAGTTGGCAAGCTTGGCAGGAGTGGGTCGCCCCAAAGACAAGACATAGCTACGCTTACCAGCAGCACGAGTTAGGTTCCGAAAGTGTGCCAGGGCCTCCTGGTATCGGGCTACACCTAACGTGCCTGCGAGCAGTCCCACCACATGGGCATCTCTGGCCCTTTCCACCAGGTAATGTCTGCGTGCCCTTAGCCGTCCAGCCCGAAGGCTCTCATCTTGAGACCGCCCTGTGTCTGGGCAGCAAGAGTAGAATGGCTGTCCTGGTGCCCAGCCCAAGAGCAGCCGACTCAGATCTGGGTCAAGGTCAGAGCTTGGATTGCACTCTGAGCCTCCCACATAGAAGGCACCATAATCTTCTAGGCATCTTCCTGGAGCCAAGGGGAAGCGACGACCAAAACGCTCAAGGGGCTCAGATTCTGAACTGAGAAAGCCTGCTGACAAGGGAATAGCTGGGCTAGAGACAAGCAGGTCCGAGTAACGTGGGCGCAGAAGAGTAGCCAAGGCATCTGTGTGGAGAGAGGTGATATCAGGAATAGGGCCTGGCACAACAAGAGTCCCTCCATTTCCAGGAGACTGAACAAGTCCCAGAAGCAAAAGGTGGTGCCAATCACATATCAAGAGCTCTAAGGGGGTGAATAAAATGGGGAAATTAAAGCATCCTTCCTGCATGCATAATCCCTCACCCAGGGCATAAGCGCAGGCTGGCTCACTCAGCAGTACCACTGGCGCTGAGGGGTCCGGGTTCAGGGCCTCAAAGGTCTTGGCACAGAGCTCCAAGGCCACAGAACGCTGGCCAAGGACGAAGATGACAGGTAATGGGCGGGAAGGGGGGCTCAAGCAGGCAGGGCCAAAATGTACAAGAGCCTGGGCTCCAGCCTGTTCAGCGCCCAGCACGTCCACACAGCAGCTGCAGGGGAGAGATCGATCATGAGTGAGAGGGGTTCCTATAACAGAGTTGCTATCATCAATAGGAGACGTGTTTAGCGACGGAAATTACATTGTGAAAGAAATACACAAACTTAGAGAAGAACTAGTATCCGAAGGGAATCATCATCAAAGTAATAACAAATGTCAGGAGCCGATATCAAAGGGAGCCCTAGATCCCCAAGACCCATCTCACTCCTGTCCACTAACCCATGTTCGCACCTGCCATAAGCTGTATCTCCCAAGATGAACATCTTTGCTCCCGTGATCTCCTCCAGTCGTGCAGCCACGGCTCCAGCATCTCCGAGGTGCTGATCGGGGAACTGCAAGGCCACCTGTTACGTGCAAACCAAGGGGTCAGACGGGTGTCTTGGTCCGTAGACCTCAGACACTCTCTTTAGACACAAGGTCAAGAAGACCAAGCTTCAAAGGCCCTCCTCCAGGGGAGTATCCCCAGGAACGCTCATCCTCACAAAATCCCCATTTTCAGGGACACATAGCCCCGGAGGCATGACTTCCCAAGACTGCCCTCACCCGCTGACATTCGTGGTTGCGGACAAATTCCACGACTCTCTCCAGCTCGTACACTCGGTCTAAGTCCTCGAGAGGAGTGAGCAGCGCTGCAGCTCCCGCTTCCCGCTGTAGCGTCGCCTCCGCGGGGCTGCTGAATGCAGACTCCATGAGGGACAGCTTAGTGTCGCGATGCTACAGAAACTCTCCGCCAGCTCCAGTGCCGCGTCCTCAACCCGCAGCACTATCGCTGTGGGTAAACGCTGGCAGGAGCCTGCAGACCACTCCTAACACCCGTCTCTCCTCCACACGTGGGCCTGTTCCTCAGTGATCATTTCCGGGACTTTGAGGCGGGGCTGGCGGCGGCTTTACCAATCGTAAGGCAGAGTTGTTAACCTCCCTCCAATCCTCGCCGCTAAATAAACCGGAAATGCCTTGTAGGAAGGGTGGCGAAGCCTTGTGGGTTTTGTAGTTCTTCTGCACGCCGCCGAGAGTTTTCCAGTTCCACAGTACTCAGCAACACTCTTGACTCCATGAAAAAAAAGCAAACACATCCCCGCCCCCAAACCTGCTACCATGTGAGCCGCTCCTATCTTATGCAGTCTGTATTCTAGAAGGTGGTGGTATTGCTGTTGTTGCTGTTAGGTGATAGCAAGTCAACTACGATTCATAGCAACCTTTATGAAAATATCTGAACTTTGCTCTATCCTGCACTGTCCTTAAGATCTCTTTGTCAAGCTCAAACCCATTGTGATACTGCGTCAATCCAACTCGTTGAGGTTCCTCATCTCTTTTGCCCATCCTCTACCTTTCCCAACATAATGTTTCTAAGGACAGTTTTCTCCTAAATACATGCCTAAAGTGAATGAGATGAAATTTCACCATCTTTGTCTCTAAGGAGCACTCTGCACATCCTTCCAGACAGATTTGTTTGTTCTTTTGAAGTCCATGGTATATTCAGTACTCTTTGCCAAGACCAAATTCAAAGGAATCAATTCTTCTGTCATCCTTATCTGATGCCTAACTTTCAGATGCATATAAAGCAAATGGAAAATATCAAGTTTGGGGTCAGGCATACCTTAGTCTTTAAGCGAACATCATGTCTCTTTAGAAATTTGGCAAGATTCTTGACAGCATATTTTCCCAGTGCAACATGTCTTTTCATTACTTAACTGCTGCTACTAAAGCTGTTGATTGTGGATCGACGTAAAAGAAAATCGTAGACATTTTAATCTTTTTATGTTGTCTATTGATGGTAGATTAAAATCCTTCAAGACGGTTGGGCAACTGGAGCCTCCCTCCACTCTGAAAGTCAGCTGGCTGACTGGAGGGGTGACTGGCATCTCTATGGTGGCTCGACTTTGGTGGCAGTCAAGGCAAGGGAAGTTTCTGGGGTCCTTTTTGCTGTGTGTTACTGTTCTTTCTTGCCCTTCAAAAGTAGGTGGGCGGCCCAGAGCCCTAAACTAAGAAGTAAGGGTGGAGCCAGTGGAGCTTGCTAAAGGCAGTAGACTAAAATCCTGTAGAGCCCTTGGGCCTGCAGCCCTAAGGTCTGTGTTTAATTGTTTTTGGTGAAACATTCTTCTAGGTCATATAGCCCTGGTGTGTCCACTTGCCGTTCAGAGGCAACTTGTGGTCGCTGTGAAGCTGAACACTGTGACACTGACATGTCAAACACGATAATGGTTACACATGGCGGACAGTGTTTGGTGGCACTCCTGGCTAAAAGAAGCTTGGAAACAGGAGTGGCATCCACTTCTATAAATAGCTTGCCTCAGGAAACTCTACGAACATGGAGAAAGGATGAAAGTCACACAACTGTCGAGGACTTTCATTCATAGGGTCGCTATGAGTCGCCTACTGCACTTAACAACAACATTGGTCTGAGGAGAACCTAAGGCATTTGATGCAAAAGGTCAAGGACTACAGCCTTAAACACAGATTGAAGCTCAACATCAAGAAAACCATGATTCTCATTACTGGGCCAACTGGCAGCACCATGATAGATGGTAAAGAGATTGAGATTGTTAATAGCTAGATTTTGCTTGGCTACACAATCAACACTTGTGGTGCTGATACCAGCAGCCAGGAAATAAAAAGACAAATTGCTTTGGGGAAATCTGCTGTCAGGGACCTTTCCAGAGTAATGAAGAGCAACAATGTCAGTCTAGAGACCAAGGTGTGCCTGATCCAGGCCATGGTCTTCACAATTACTCACTATGAATCAGAGAGCTGGACAATGACTAAGGATGATAGTAGAATCGATGCCTTTGAGCTGTGGTGTTAGAGAAGAGTACTGTATATACTATGGACTGTTAAGAGAACACACAGGGCTGTCCTGGAAAGGGTGAAACCAAGTTTCTCCCTGGAGGATTCTGAAGCTCCGTCTAATATACTTCGGCCATGTTGCCAGGAGGGACCAGTCCTTGGAGAAGGACATCATGCTTGGAACAGTGAAGGGACAGTGTGAGAAGAGGACCATGGAAGAGATGGACTGACTCAGTGACTGGGGTAATGAGAGTAGGTGTGTAAGAGACAATGAAATTGGCTCAAGACAGAGCAGTGTTCAACACAGAGCTGATGTACATAGGGTCACTATGAGTTGGAGTTGGCTTGACAGCACATAACAACAACAACATTGGTACAGTAATGAGAATTTTTGTTTTCTTGATGTTGAAATGTAACTCATATTGAAGGCTTTAGTCTTTGATCTTTAGTGTTTTAAGTCTTCATTTTCTGCAAGGGTGTGTCATCTGCATAAAGTAAGTTGTTAATGAATCGTCCTCCAAATCTGATGCCACATTCTTCTTCATATAGTCCAGTTTCTTGCATGATTATCTCAGTATACAGACAAAGTATGGAGAAAGGATACAACCTTGATGCAAACTTTCCTGATTTTAAACCATGCAGTGTTTCCTTACAGTTCAGAGAACTGCTTCTTGGTCTCTGAGTACAATCAAGTGTTCTGAGATTCCCACTCTTCTCAATGTTAGCCATAATTTGTTATTATCCACACAGTCAAATGCTTTTGCATAATTAATAAAACACAAGTAAACATCTTTATGGTACTTTCTGTTTTCAGCACAGATCCATCTGACATCAGTGATGGTATCCCCCATGACATGGTCTCTCCTGAACTCAGCCTGAATTTCTGGCAGTTCCCTGTCAATGTTCCAGCCTTTTAAAAAGAATTTTCAGCAAGATTTTGCTTTCATGTGGTATGAACAATAGTGTTTGATAGTTTCCAGAGTCTGTTGGACATTCTTCTTGGGAATGTGAATTATGAGTCTCTTCAGTTGGCAGACAGCTGTCTTCTTAGCAGATACTGGTGAGCACATTAGGGCTGCATCTGTTTACTAAAACACCTCAACTGATGTTCAAGCAATTCCTGGAGTTTAATTTTTGCAAATATCTTCAGTGCAGCTTGGACTTTTCCCTTCAGTGCCATTAGTTCTGTAGCATTGTGCTACTTCCTGAAATGGTTCGGTATCAACAAATTCTTTTTGGTACAGTCACAGTATTTTCCTCCCATCTTCTTTTGATGTCACTTCCATCATTCATGATTTTGAATCCTTCAAAATCCATAGAATCCTTCAGTGTTGTGCCTCAAGGCTTGTATTTGTTCTGCAGGTCTTTCAGCTTGAGAAATGGTAAGTTCTTCCCTTTTCTTACTCAACTCCAGTTCCCTGTACCTTTCATTAAAATACTTTTGTCATCTCATGCTGCCCTTTGAAACTTTGTGTTCAACTTTCTTACCTCCAACATCCCTTCTCCTTGTTTCAGCTGCTTTTCATGTCAGTGAAGGTTTCAGAGTCTATTCTGACATTGTGGTCTTTTCTTTCTTCCCTTTCTTTGGTCTTTGGAATGACCTTTTGCTTTTTTCATGGATGATATCTGTGGTCATCATCATGTCATCTGATCTTTGACCATTAGTTCTAAAAAAATGAAATGGAACACATAACAATTGACATTCTAGGCATTAGTGAGCTGAGATGGACTGGTAATAGTCATTTTGAGTTAGACAATCACATGACCTATGATGCTGGAAATGACAAGAGGAATGGAGTGATATTGTCAAAAAGAGCATTTCAAGATCTATCCTGAAGTACAAGCCTATGAATGATAAGATACTAGCCATACACATACAAAGAAATCCTGTTAACACAGCTTGTTATTATTAACCCATAGGTGACCCTCTAACGGGTTTTCAGAGGCAGTAAATTTCATGGAAGGAGACGTCCATTTGTCTCCCACAGAGCAGCTGGTTGATTCAAACCATATACCTTTAAGATTATAGTGCAGCTTCTTACCTCTAGGCCAGGCCACGTCCCATTAAGAAAACTATTATTCAAATATATACAACAACCAGAAAAGCCAAAGATGAAGACATTGACAGTTTCTACCAACTTTTCAAAATTAATCAAACACACTATCAAGATGTATTAATAGTAATTGGTGACTGGAATGCAAAAGTTAGAAATGAAGGATTGACTGTTGGTGACAGAGATAAGATTGGAGATCACATGATAGAATTTTGTACAAGTTATTTCTTCTTTGCAAACACTTAAAAAAGACAAACCATGAATAGTAACTATCCACATGGACACAGTAACTGTAACAGTGGACTTGAACATATCAGATATCCTGATAATGGCACAGGATAGGGTATGGTTCAGATCTGTAAATAGGGTCGCTTTGAGTATGTTGACTTGATGACACCTACCTAACAAAAACATAGTCATGGACTTCATCTGACAGACTATACAGGAATCTGACAACATCTGTGGAAAGAGACGTTGGAGAAGATCAATACCAACAGTCAAAACTAATCCAGGGACTTATTGTGGAATAGACCATCAACTACTCAAGTTCAAATAGAAGTCCAAGCATGATGTTCCTCTCCAAGAAATAGCAACATGCCCAGTATGTCAGATAAAGCTTCATCATCTTTGGCTCCAAGAAGAACTCTGAATGCACCTCCTCCATGACATATCCTTAGCACTCCTCTCCAGCACCACAGTTCAAAGACATCAATTCATCTAGCATCCTTAGTCACTGATGAGCTTTCAGATGCATTGCAAGTGACTGAAAAAACCATGGTCTTAATTATCCCAACTGAATTTAAAGCCATCATAATAGATTTGACTCATCTGGAAGGTTGTTGTTGTTGTTAG